TCTGTTTCTATTAAATTGTAGATGCCAATGGATGATTTCATTGAAATGGATGACTTCACTAGCTTCGGTACCGAGAAGGTATGTCGACTTTTTCTTGAATATTTTGGCATTAATAGTACTGAGATGGTATGTCTACTTTTTTTTTTCGTAATCTGGCTCTCATTATATGTTTCAATCAAATTATGCAGGTGCAATCGGAGGATTTTAATGATCAATCAAGTTTAGTTAATCAATATTATTCCTTGAACAAATTAGAAAATAAGATAATTAAATTAAATAAAGATCATAGTAATTAAGGAATGCATATTCTTAAGTTGAACCAGTTTTCTTATCGTCAGTTGGAAGAGGGTCCTTCCTATACTTACCATAAGAAAATGGTATGAACTTGAGAATATGCCTTTCTCAGTTGTTGTGCTCTTTATTTAACTTAATAATCTTATTTTTTTAAATTTGATCAAGAAATAATTATTGATTTCAATGAAACAAAACTTAAGTTTATTAATACTAATTAGGAATGTCTACCTTCTATAATTATTGGTATTTTGGAATTATCTTTCGAGAATCTTTTTTTACAATCAAAACTACACTAAACTGTAAAATAAGGACCATTAGATGGAAAATGGCCATGGCTCCTAATATGAAAGGGAACTTTGTGTGTGATGTTTTTCTTAAAATCTTGTTCTACAACATATGAGGTGTGTAGATCTTTAAGCGTGATTGGCATGTGTGAGACGCTCACTTGATGTGTTATCAATGAGTTTGAGCACAGCAACTAGGTTGCTTTTATTTTGTTGGGTTTTTTTAATGTATTTCGGTGTAAATCCTAATCCATGAGATGTGAATAGGCTGAATTTTATGCGTGTATAATCTGTAAATGTTATATGGCTCGGTATTTACTTGATCAGTTTCCAAAATATTTTTTGTTTTCTCACTCAAAATTTGTCTCAAATTCATTGTTGTTTTCCTATCATATAAGGGTAAACAAATATTTTGTTATATTTTAATTTTATTGTTACCGATTAACTTTAATTATTTACTTTATCATTAAAATATTCTATTGGTCTTTAATTTTTTTAAGGATAATGTAAGTAAATACAAAAATATTTTCAAATTCTTAATTTGTGAAAAATGTTAAAAAGTACTTTTATGTTAAGATAAAAAAATATAAATAACATTTTAAATTTTAATTTGTGGAAAACTAATTTTAATAATTAAAGAATTATTTTAATCATACTGAAAATGCATATTCGACTCTCTTTTAGCACTATCTAAGTGCTTGTCTCTGCTGTTTAGCACTACTTCAGTGCTTGTCGCTGTTGATGTAAAGTTTTATCCAATATTTATGAATACAATAATTTGCAAATTACATATAAAATTAGTCAAGTAAAAGCCTGAATATGTATGAACCGTTTATTAAAAAAAAAAAAGGCATAAAAAAAGATAACAATAGATGTCTGCCATGAAAACAACCCAAAGCTACACGGAGAATGCAAACATATGTAAAAAGTGCAAAATGTAAAATGAGGTAAGTGGTCAACAACAATCTTCTTCTCCGTCAATAATTCTCAAAATCTTAGGAATGGGATTATTATTATTATTATTATTTTGACTAAGGACAATTTTTAAGGGAAAAAGGGATTGAACTTAATATGGTGCTTGGTGATACACATCGTTATCGATCGATTTACAAATTAGGTTTATAGGAATGTGATTATTTAGATTTTCATAATCCACTACATGTAATTGCTTATTTGTTGTAATAGGCAGGAGTGATCTTTGAACATCATTTTTCTGTACCGATCAAAAAAAATTTTTTTTTCTCAAGATCTCTGTAGAGATATCAAAATTGTAATTTATATTCTGAAATAGTCTATTGTCTGTTATAATAATTTAAAATTAATAATTAGTAACTTTATTTAATTTAATAGTTAATAAAATATTTCTCTAATGATTCAAATACTTTTATCTATTAAATTTCCATTATATTTAATTTGAGCAAAATAGAAGAAAAGAAAAGATTTTTTAATTAATTAAATTATAATATTTTAAATATTATAATTTAATTAATTAAAAATTTCTCTTTTACTCTTCTATTCCATCTATTTTCTTCCATTTAAATTTAATATAAATAAAATAATTAACCACTAATTTCAATTTGTTATATTAACCGTCTCTTAGTTAATTATTAAAACAAAAATTAATTGAATTGATATTCCTAAATTTATGAATGATTAGAAGTTTATTAATGATTACAATAAGTAACTTCTTATTCTAAACGGATTATTAAACAGAGAAGGCGGAACGTTGAACCGAGTAAAAGTAATCTTTTATTTTTCCTCGTTTTCTCAGGTTCTCCTCAACTTTCTCGCACCCCAAACACCTCCTAAATTCTCGCCATCCACACATTGGGCCATTGGCGACTCTCCGTTAAAAACCAAAATCCACTCGCTCCATCTCAACCGACGTCGTCATGGAGGCAACAACCAAGACGGCGACGACGACGACGACGACCGCCAAGCCAAAAATGAGAAGAAACGGCAGTCGAAGCTTCTGCAGAAGCAAGAGTTTCTCCCTCTGTTTCAAACCGGTCGTCACGGACGGTGGTTCCGTTGCAACCACGGAACCCGCCTTTACGCACGACCCAGTGGAGCCCTTGCCGCCGAAGGTGGTGAGTTTCGATATCAAGGAAGAAAAGAACAAAGGCACTCGCCGCCGTTTGTCCCGTGTAATCAAGGCCGTCCTGTTCGAAACTTCTCTGGTTAGTTTCATATTCTCTTTCAAATCTGTTTCATAAATTCAAAATCTCAATAGTTTGTGTGCGATTAATTTTGAAAATTTTCATGATTTGTTCGTTTGAATTGAATTAACATTTTATTTATCAATTTGTAACAATCTCTTATGAAATCAAATATGAATTCTTAAATTTAAATGAAATATAATTTAATATTTGAATTTAAACAATTTGAATCAATCAATGATTCATGTCACAGGTTGCTAAGGCAATCAAGAAAAAACTCGGCCAAAGATCAACAGACAGTCACCACCTACATCCGAAACCGGAGAAAAACCCGAACGAATTTTCAGAGCGTGACGAATCGCTGGAGGACGAAGAAATGGGAACCGCATCCACCGTATCTTCCTCTTTACGGTTTCCATCGTCGATCACGTCGGCCTTCCTTTCGCCGTATTCTTCGTGTCTCTCTGACAGGAGTGTTGTGAGCGCAAATGGTGTCGTTGCGAGAGAGAACGGGAAGGGATATCTCGGTCCTAATGCAGGTTTGTCTTTGCTTCTGATGAGTCTCTTGATTATGATTTTTTGGGGCAAGGTTTGCGCCATATTTTGCACGTCAACGTGGTTGTTCTTGATGCCGCGGTGGAGTATCAAGCCCAGCAGATCGGAGAAGATGGTGGAGTTGCCGGTGCCGGAGATTGACTCGGATCTGTACAGGAAGAAGGTGATCATGAGAGGGCTACTGGAAAGGAACCGCAGTCATTGATGATGGGAATTTTTGAAGTAATTAAGGATAATTTTTCCTAAATTGAAAATAAAAAAGCCATGAAATTGTTTTAGGCTACCATGGGCAGAAGAGATTGAGCATGTTTTGTCAATTTTGCAGTTTTGTAAATTACTATGTTTTTATAAATGTATATAATAATATCTTCAATTTTGAATTATTTAACGCAACTCTAAAAAATTTAAGTTCTATGTAGTATTGTAGTGTAAGTATGGATTTTTATTGTGATTTTTAAATTTTAAATAATTAAAATTAATAATTAAAAGTTAAAATTATTAATTTATTAAGTATAAAATTTTAAAATAAATATAAAAACTTTAAATTTAATCAATTTATAAAACTATTTAATTTTATTTTAGGTTTTTAAATTTTTTAAATCAAAATTAAAAATTCAAAACTATAATCATATTAAATGAAATCATACGTTGTCTTTGAATAGAAGGGAATGAGGAGAGAAGAAGAGAATTATATCTTTTTATTTTCCTTTCATTCATTTTATTTAAATAAATAACTAAATTAAAATAAAAAAATAAAGTAAAGAAAAATTTTCTTCTTCTTTCTCTCATATTTCTTGATAACTAAATACAAATTCTTTTTTTTATTTCTCTCAACCTCAATAGATGTTAATTGATGTACAGATATTTTATTTGAATAAAAGATTAGTAGTTTTTTTTCATCAAAATAGAGAAATTTTATAAGAGGTTAATAGTTAAAATCTTTAAACTTTAAAAGAAATAAAACAATTATTTCTTAATACCAAGTATATGATTGGGATCACAAGCAATCCCAAAATCTTAGAATTGGTTTTTTTTTTTTTTATTGTTTGTATGGTTAGGATGTTTTTGGATAAGTTTTTGCCCATTGTTTCTCTCCCGTCAATCTTAAAATACATCCTTATATCATTAAGATATATATTTTTTTTAAATAACTTTCTCAAAAAAATTAATTTTTTTAGTGTTAACCTAAGACTTGAAACATTAAATTTCCATAAAATTGTTCAAGTTAAGACAAATTTAATTTTTTTTTTTATTATGATTTCATTTGAAAGCTCTTTGAAGAAAAGGCTTTAAAATGAATTGTATCATTTTACCCAAAAAAAAAAAAAAAAAGAAAAGACCTCATAATTTCTATAGCACAAAAAAATTATTATTAATTACTTAAAATTAAAAAAACAAAAAACAAAACGGGCACAAAAGACCACGAGCCTTAAACCCTCATTAACCCCATTATCCACTAGCTGCCTTTCTCCTCAAAACCTGTTCCAGTAAAATGGTCACTAAACTATTCCATCTCAGGCCAAAGTTGCTCCCTTTCACAATCGTCTCCCCCAAAAGCTCCCCTCTTCCTAAACCCACCCTTCTTTCTCTCTTCTCCACCCAGTCTCAGACTGAATCCCTTCCTTATGGCCCTTCTCTTCTCAAAGGCAAAGCTCCAATTCAAACCCCACAATTCCCACCCAGAACCCCAATTAAGCAGGAAGAAAGTCCCAAGGAAGACCCACAAGAAGAATTAGATGGAAACATCATCGATGAGGTGAAATTCACCAGAGTTTTTTATATTGCGGCCCTCCGCGTCCCCGCCAAGGACTGTTTTGCTCTAGAGAGCCGTCTCCGGGGTCATCTTCTCAACTGGCCAAGAATTCGCAACATTGCTAGAGTACCTGGGGACGAGATTGATGATGAAGTTAGAAACTTTTTAGATAGCGGTCGAGATGAGAGTGAGGAATGCAGTGACGAGAGTGGTGGTGGCGATTCATTGGTTTTGTATAGGGAGAAGCTGGTGAAGGAGTTTAATTCGCGGGGGTTTGTGAAGTTCAGGAACTTGGCAAAGATTTCGCGTCCTCCAAAGAGGAAAAAGAATGAAAGGAAAGGAGAGGAAAGGAAACGCGAGGAGAGGAAAAAGTTATGTGTTGTGGAAGTTTTGGGTGAAGATGAAGGGAAGGAAATGAGGGCATTGTTGGGAGAAGGGTTTCGTGGAGAGAGGAAATGGAAGGGTTCCACAAGATTGTTGCTTTTGGATGAGAGGTATTGGGACAGGGAAGTGGACGAGTTGCCTCAGGCAATCAAGGTGGGCGAATGTTTGCAGTTGTTTTAATTTGATATCCTCACTTCGTAGACTTTTGTTATATTATGATACACTGATGAGGAGTTGAGCATACCATTTTAAATTGGTTATGTTTTTCATTTATTCTTAAAATAGATTGATTTATTAAACCTTGAGGCCAGTCTGATCCAAAAGATGGAGAAATTCATGCAAATATCATTATTGGAAATGTTTGAATTCGTTATCTTTTAACTGTTATGTAATGATGGGATGATGAACAACCATTTTTCTTTGTTGAATGTATTAAAATGGTGGACTTTTAAGCAAACATTGTTTCTTCCTTGAATTTAAGGAGCTGCCATGTATATAGCAGTGCAATATTAGTCTCTCATATGATTCACTTTTTGAGCCTGCTCAACTTTGCTAAAGGTAACTTATAATAGTTCAGTACCTAGCCATTAATTTGTTGTCGTAGATGCTATTGCTTTACTTACAGTTATATGCAATTTGAATTTCAAGCAGTGTACTCAGAAGAAAGCTTTGGTTTTCTTTTGACTTTTTCCTTCTTCTTGTTAAATTATTTTAATTATTACCTTGTCATTGCTGTCTTGAATATATTGTTAAATTTATTGTCAGACATACGTTTTGTTTTGTACCTGCATTACATCTGATACTCCCATTCTATTTGGCAGGCTGCGATAGTAGAAGATGATGGAGAAAACAGAACATCCAGTATAGAACTTGTGAGATGCAGGCTGACTTTGTTTTATGATTATTGGGGGATGAATGAGGTACTAAAAGGAAAAGATATCTCACCCATATTCTTGTTCTTTGCACATGCATCAAGTTTATTTTTTTCAGTGGAGATGAGCAGTTCCCTTATGAATACCTGTTAATTTCTAATTTTGTTATTATAACCTTATATTGAACGAAAAATGAAACAAGGCATACTCTCCACTACAAACATAAGTGTAAACATTGAAATATTACTTATTTTTCCTAAGAGCAGAATCTTCTGGTGAACATTATATGCAGATCTTGGAGGCCTTGTTACCTAATGGTTTAGTTGTCCCATCTGCCTTTGAGACAGTTGGTCATATTGCACATTTGAACTTAAGAGATGAACATCTTCCATACAAGAAGGTTATAGCAAAGGTGATTTTTTTGTACAAATTAATAGTTTTGCTATTGAGAAGACTATTTTTTCAGAGTTAGGAGGCGAACTCATCAGTGTTTTTCTAATATATGTCTGTTTCCCACTTCAGGTGGTTTTGGATAAAAATAAGCCAAAGATTCAAACAGTTGTAAATAAGACTGATGCCATTAACAATGACTACAGAACAATGCAGCTCGAGGTTTTAGCTGGAAACCACTCCCTTCTGACTACAGTAGTTGAGAATGGTCTACAATTTCATGTTGATTTAGCAACAGTGTATGCTTTTCCTTTCCTTGCAAGTAAATTGGAAATTTTACTGACTTGTTATGTTTTTGTTCTAAAAGGTTGAATGAATTACAAACATCGCAAGAAATTGTTGGGTTCTTCTAATAATAACACATTCAAGAAACAAGTTTTCTGATATTAGTCTTTTGTCTCTGCAGATATTGGAATTCAAGACTTGCTACTGAGAGACAAAGGCTTCTGAGTGGCTTCAGTCGTAATGACATCATATGTATGTTTTGCATCTTGAGAGTTATAGTCTAGGATGTGTTTATTCTTTATTGTACTAAATCTGGGTAAAGACCTTGACTTAACCATACAATTTTTGTTGGCCAAAAAACAATGTTAAACAATTTTCATTTGCCTCTTATTCATGAGTGACACTTTGACAACCTTTTTTCTTTATTTCCTCTGGCTCTTTTCAGAACTTTCAAATCACTTATCTCTGCAGTCCCTTTTTTTTTTTTGGCAACAGGTGATGTTTTTGCAGGGGTTGGTCCAATTGCTATAGCTGCAGCTAAGATAGTAAAACGTGTATATGCTAATGATTTGAACCCTTATGCTGTTGATTACCTTGAAAGAAATTGCGTCCTCAACAGACTTGAGAGGAAGATTGAGGTACGACTTAGCTACTCATATAATCAAATGTCTTATGGCACATGATTTAGCATAATTCATCTCGTAAATGAGGTAACTTCTGACCATTATTCCTCTAAACAAGTTTGTTAGTATCCGTCAGTTCTTAGTGGCTAGTACATAAAAATACAATGAAGGAAAAACAAGTCTAGAAGTAGGCATTAGGTCCTTAAGCAGTTAATTGTAAGTTGTATACATTAATTAATAGATTGATACAAGAAAAAGTTTAAGGTAAAATTATTTTGAGGAGGCATTGGGTCCTTTAGTAGCATCTCACTAACTAATAGGTTGATAGTAGATTTTTTCTGATAAGTTTTGATAATTTACAATTGATTGTAGCAGCAAATTGCTGCTTTCTTGTACATAACAGTTATTGGATAAATGAAATTTCACTTTCTATTAAAAAAATAAAATAACTAATAGGTTCATCAGTTTTATGCCTTTTGTTGGTAACTGTAAATTTTTTCAGGTCCTTGAAGAAAAGAATGAATTACATATACGTATATGTTTAGCAATTTTAACTGTAATATTCTAATGAATGAAAATGTACTATTGCATGCTTCATCTGGGTTTATTTTATTTCACCACCTAGGTGTTTAACATGGATGGAAGAAGGTTCATCAAAGCTGTGTTCGCAAGTGACAAAGCTCTGTCGATCACACAAATTGTTATGAATTTGCCAAATGATGCTGGAGAATTTCTAGGTATTTTATGAGTCTCCATTTCCAGCATCTCAAACCAGGCTTTTTCAAGAAGGCAATAGGCGATACATGTTAGATAACAGATAAATGGATCCTAGGACATTGTGTGGTGTAAAGAGAAATGTGTAAAAGGCTGTTTACAATATGTCTTGGCAGTTTTCATCTTATAATCTTGAAATTTCTGTTACCTTAATGCAATTTGGGGAAATGACAGCTTAATGCCTCCTTTCTTTGGGTTTTTTGCCTTCATTAACAGATGCATTCAGAGGCATATACAGAGATCGACGTAAGGATAAAGAACTCAATTTCCCAAGAATTCATGTCTATGGATTTTCCAAAGCTCAAGATCCTGAGTTTGATTTCCACGAGGTCTGGATCTGGCTGAAGTCCCAAAGTAAAATATAAAGCTACTACCATTTCTCTTTCTCATCTCATCTACTTACTTTCATCTTCCCATGTTTATGCAGCGGATACGAATTGCTCTTCAAGAGGTTGCAGTTAATGTGGAAATGCGTAGAGTACGCCTAGTTGCACCTGGAAAATGGATGCTGTGTGCATCATTTATTCTTCCTGAGAGTGTAGCATTTGCAAAAAACCCATACGACATGTAAAACACATCCCCATAATTAATGATATAATGATAGAACACATGATTCTTTTCAGGGTCATATTACTTTGCATGCATTTTCATGGTATTTTAGCAGAGTTTTTTTTTTTTTTAAGTGCAGATTGGCTTCAACTGGATAGGGTTCACTTGAATTATTCCATTTCCAAGTAAAATGGCAAAGGTTAAAGCCCTCTTTTCTTGTTTGTTTAGTGCAGAAACATCTCAGAGACACCTTTGCTTTCTGTCTTTTACCTGTAGTATATATGTACAAACACAACTAACAGATGACAGAGACCTTTTCTACATGCATCAAAGTGTACATAAATGCTAGAGACACCACCAAATACTTGATGCACAGATCTGCCTCAATTTGGATGGTCCAGATTTCATCCCCACCAAAAATTGCATGCTGCCGAACATCTGATGTACTGTACTGTGTTCCATGTCTCTGCACTGCATCCACTGCTAGGATTTGCAAGAAGGGCAAGATGGTAATAGAAAGAGGGAAATCTCAGTTCAGATTGAGATCTAAATAATTATTTTCTGCATCAGTGTGGTCCTGCTGTAGAAATGTGAGGTGGGATGTTATAAAAGTTGCATAAAAGACAGAACTAACAGTTACTCTATACCTCTGCTTCCTTATAGCAACCCCTTGGGAATCATTGTGAAACACAAATACAAAAAAGAAAAAGAAAAATATAAACTGCTTACCAACTCTCATTTGTGCCTAATTAAGATAAAAATTAATTAAGATTAAATAAGAATCATGATGGATGTTGAAAAGGCTGAAAGGAATAACATAACTCTAAAAACTGGATAAATAAAAATTTTACACTTGCTGGCGAGAAGAGAATGATCCTGTTTCCCCGAAAAAAAAAAAAAAAAGAAACTCCAAAAATTGGCAAGAACAGTAAGGATACAATGTAATTAAGTGATTTATAAAGGAAATTTCAAACTTACCAATTAACCCTAACTGATATTTTATGTTACAATACAATACCACATGCAAGTTAACAAGACTTTTCTTAAAAATAGAATTTCAGTTACCTCAATAATTATTACATGTTTGTTTTGGCATATTTAACAACGAATTATACAATATAAAAGAAAGTTTTTCAATTCTAAATTCCTTGGCAACTATCCTAAATTCAACTATGAGACTAGACCATAATTGTAGAGCCCAGTCTTTATTAATGTTATAGGAAAAATTGAAATTTGAGGGAAGAAGGGGAGTACATGTTATTAATAGGATGGGATTGAATTGAACTTGAAACTTGAAATGGTCCCCCATTGTCATGCAAAAGAAACTAACCAAGGGTTGGTACTTGGTACATAGCCTATCTGTATATAGCAGTAGGTCACTTCCATATATAATCCCCAGATCCACCCCCCCCCCCTACCCCATCATTCCATACAGGGCACAATCTCTATCCCAGAAACCAAGAATCCTTCCCTGTCTGTCCAAACCCAGCACCACCAAATACATCTTATCCTTCACACGGTTGAATGTATTATTAAGGATTAACCCCTCCTCTCCACACGTGCCAAACCCGCCCACCTTTCCTCCAGAGCCGCCCCCAAGATGGGATGGGCACGCCACCCACCACCACCACCATCCCACGTGGCATTCAGATGTTTTGTGGACCACTATTTGTGGGCACCACAAAGCCAGTTCCTTTTCTTTTTTGTTGAGCCATATTATAGGCATAATTTTTTTTTATTTTACTTTTGATATAATTTTTATTTATCATTAAATGAGTTAGTATATTTAATATTATATATTTTAAAATAATATAAAAAAAATTATCTCAAAAATTGATTAAAAAAATTTGTTTCAAAAAAAATTCTTTTTTCCTTACACTTAACAAGTGCTTAAAATCTAGAGTACTAGATCAAGGCCTAGGGAGATGCGTTGCTTACGTGGCCGGCGTTTTTGGTGGAGGGTTGTCGTTGTCGGTTGCCTTGAAGACGGCGGAGGAGGTGTCCGGATGTCCGTACAAGAACAGACCCTCCCTACACATTGCATTCTGATTGGTTCACGCGGTTTGCTTCTTCTCATTTAGTATCTAATAATTATTTAAATTACTAACATTATTTCTTGTATTAATTTGTAAATAAAGTTTAATATTCAATCGTAATTTGAAAGTAAGATTTTTAAGTTGAAAATTCTAATAAATTACCTTTTATTATATAATACATAATTCTACGAATAAAAGAACAAGAAAGTTGATTCTTTTTCTTTGATTAAAATTGATGGAGATTACTGAATGCGAAATTGGAGATTGTGATTTTCGGTGTATTGGAAAATAGTGAGTTTCATCTCATGGGATGCTTGGAAACTTCTTATTGAAATTGCCTGGTAACAACCTTTTTCTCCTTAATTTTTTAAATCCATTTTAAGGTTTTTCAAATTAACAAAACATCTTATTTTCTAAACTTTAATTTTTGTTAAGATGAGTTCTACTTATATTGAAAAGGGAAATATTATTGGGACAATCTTTCTATCTCATATTTTTGTATAATTTAATGTATTATTAAAATGATTTATTTTTTGAATTTATATGAAATCTGTAATATTGAATACATCAATTTATTTAATGACATGTGAAAATTGTATAAAAAAATAAGATAAAAAAATTATCCTAATAACACCACCACCGTATTGAAAAATTTTTTGAAAAAACCAACAAGATTTGGGAAGACGTGTATTTAGATCATGGCCGGTGATCTACAAAGATATTTCACCTTTAATGTTATTAAAGTCTTTAAATTAACAAACATTGAAATGTAATTATTATTATTATCATAAAAATATTAAGTAAATAAAATTTTAATTTTTTTTTAAGTAATGTCTAAAAATATTAATTTATTAACTGATTTTAATCTATTAATTAATAAAACTTAATTATTGTATTAATTAATAATTATAATTATTTTTATTAATTAAATAAAATTAATATTTTTAAAAATATTATTTTACAACTTTAATAATCTTAACATTTTGTTTGTTGACCATAGTCTTAAACAAAGCAATAAAGCATTATAATCTAGACTAGAAGTTTTGAATTCTAGTCTAAACTTAGGCACAAACTTATAAACATTAAGATATAATCATTACCTATGTAGCATCTTAAGATTTATTACATCATTTCACCCCCTATTATACATTAGTCATACAAGTGATTTGGAATATGTGTATATGCTTGTATTGTTGTATTGTATTTGTACTTTTGTATTAGGAATGATTTCGATGCAATATTAAATAAACTAAGGCAAGCTAATTGGTGTATATATCATTTTGGCTCAAAATTAAAAGTTATAAATTAATACTTATTAATTTAAAAAACTTTTAATGTCCAATACTTGATGGTCTACTAACCACCTACTTAAGATGGTGTGCTTGGACGACTGAGTTGGTTTCTAGTTTGAGGTCCTACTTCCCTTTTCTCAACCAATTCCTCAAGTTCCAAAAAAAAAAATCTTAATAATATTAAATTATAGGTCATAAATACAGATTAGAGATCTTAATTCAGTAATATTTGGGTATTGTTCAAATTAAGCTCAAACATAGGGGAGATAGATGGACAGGCATAGGGCCAAATCTTGCCAAATTGCCATTCCTTAAAGGTAGCACATGGAGTCAGCTTTTTCTTGTTTCCAAATTTGAAGAGAGGCATCATTGCAACTTGCAAGCCTACATATTAGCCAGATTCACACATTTACTACCATATCTTACTATCCATGATTGCCCATGTACTCTTTCCCTTAAATTCTCCTATATCCCACCTTCATCATCACCATTAAATGCCCATACATTTTATTGATCATAATAATATCTGCCTCTTTTATTAAATTTTTTCTTAAATTTTTTATTGTCATTTTTTCAATTAATACTTGTTCAAAAAAGAAAAAAGAGAAAAAAGATTGTCTTTTTTATTTTTAATAAGTATTACTGTATTAATAATTAATTTTTCAAAATGCTATTTTATAACTCATCATGACATTATTTTATTTTATTTTTAAATTAAAAATTTAAGGACAATTTCTATTTTTACCCATATTATTCCAAAAAAATAATAAAATATAATTATAATTGGATGAATAATTAGTAAAGAAATAATGACAAAGTTAAAATAAAAAATATTTATTTTTTTTAAAATATAAAAATTTGACTATTATTTTAAGAAAAATTTTAAATCATAATACATACAGTATTATTAACAAATTATTTTTTCTTAGGTTATCCCTTATATTTTAATTATTTAATTTAATAAATTTATTATTGCTTATAGTAAAGAAAATGCATTTTTTCTTTCTTTCATACCTCACATCAATAATTAACAGTAATGTACGAAGAAAAAAAATTCAATAATTAACAGTAAGATTGAAAAGCTATAAACTAATTAATACAAAATAATTGTTATTCGTAATTCCGATACATATGGTAAAAAAAATGACGGATATTAGAGTAAGATGAAAGGAGTATTCTTATTTTCTAATTTTTCTTTAAAAATGAAAAACTTGCAAAGCCAATTTAAAAATGGGAATTAGAATTTAGGACGTAATTATTTTTGATAAAGCCAGACCTCATGATGAGCCCAAAAACACAAACATGATCACATGATCATCATGACCTTTGATCCATGAATGATTTTACTCATTCATACTTCAACTGAATTTTATTTTTTATTCATTTATTTTATGGATATAGATGAAAATAAATAAAAAGATAACAAGTGTTGCAATCGGCCTTCTCCTGTATATTTTATAATTATTTATCAAGCAATGACCACTTAAATATAAA